ATGGGCTAGTCTGTTGTTAAGCGCGGGGTCTCGATTGGGGTAAGTGCTTGTTATATAATCAGCACAGCCACGCGGTATCGAACCTCTAACCACGGCAGAACAATGGGCTGTTGCACCCATTTAAACTACTCACAAGACTTACACTGGCGATTCAAACCTTCCCAAATTTATTCAATATTTTAGGGCGCAATTTAATGCTCGGTGCCTTGAACACGGCACACAGTCACGTGGGTACTTGGGTACTTCCACCACTTGATTCTGGAGCGTATTAAAAATCCCAAGCACATAGAAAGATTTTTAGTACTGTCATGAATGTATTTGTATAAACATTCAATCAGAATATTGATTCTATATGCACAAAACATCGAAAAGCGCCGATGTGGCTGTGCAGATTATGTAACAAGATCTTACCCGGATCGGACCCCCGCGGTTAATAACAGACTTCAATATAACGAGGTACGAGTTCAGTAATATTGAATGTCTGGCTGCGAGAGACTATTGATGGGCGGCGTTCCCGAAAGTTCCGATGATTGCCGATCGGCAAACGACTGAGTGTTTCGTTTAAGTTCTTCCTGGCCGTCCAGCAAGAGCTTGGTCAACACAGAGTGAGGAGGTCGATTCTTGGCTGATGGAGGTAAGTTTGACTAAATGGCCCTTTTTCTCCTTTGGACACCAATCACCACGCTTCGTACCGTCTACACACTGGCGAACCCTGCGGTGTCGAGTGTAGTGTGCAATTCAAAGGTTTGTTGTATCAACAAATTTGGAGTTGCGGTCTCACCCATGCATCCACAATATCACTGCTTCGCACAAATTGTTACAAAAAAATAATAGGGTGTTCTGAGGAAAAGCTGCTGATAGCTGTAAGCTGATAAAAAGCGACCAGAAAAGCGGCGGAAAGACGGCAAAAAAGACGAAAGCCGTAAAAAGTCGCGGTATTTGTATGCAAGGTTCCCAGGTTACAAAATGGAGTGGACATGGCATGGAGTCCACCTGATAGCTGGCTGCTCTCCCCCTGAAATATGGCTGAATATTCCATCTGGAAACCAGCCAGCCCCCAGCTGCGCCAAGAAATCGTGACTGCTGGTGGCCATATGATCGCGCCAGGCGGAAGCAACATGCCGACACTTTGGCGGTGTATCCTCTTCCACCGAAAACGTTTCATAGCACGGTAGAATGTGATGTATTTATTGCGTAGAAATATACAATAGTGAGCTACTGGATGACGGACATCTGGCCACAATTACTCACTGGCTGGATACACCTCCGTCATAAAGAACACCCTCTGTGCGCCTCAATCGGTCGAAATATTGAGGCCGTGGCCTGCTGAGGCTGCCATGGATCGGCCGATGATGCGCCACCGCCACATCTGACAGCTCGCGTGGCTTTGATGGCAGCCAGATCTCACGCACCTCTTGTTCGAAACAGCAACTTTCATCTACCACGTGCAGCCGTGTAAGAGTTTGATGACCTCCAAAATTGTTAGGAAAGCCCCCCCAAATGAGGGAAACAACCTCTGGATATCTTCGAAGTGCGTCGGTAAGCTCATAAATCGCCAGATTCACGTGCAAGACAGTTATACCGCCCTCAAAAAGACAGAGGACCGAGTCTACATCTGGCGCGGTATCAGCATATCGTTGATTTCTCGGGATTGCCCTCTCATCAGTTTCTGGTACGCGGCTACCGGTTTCCATCAAATCAATTCTACCCGCCTGTATACCGCGCTGAAGTCTCGAGAGACGTCTCCAGAGAATTTGAAACGGACTCGACGTCCTCCACGAAGTTCGCATTTCACCGGTTCGAAGTCACTTTTCCTTCTTTCAGTCTGGCCTGCAATATTAAAAATCATGCTGCCTATTTGGATTCTTGCATTCAAAACGTCTGGCTGCCTCGGCCCTCAGCTCCACGAAGCAAGCCGACTTCAGTTGAACCCCGGAAACGTGCGGCGCGAATCATTGCGATCCACGGCTCATAGACTCTGAAATGTGGTCATAGTGCCATCGCTCAGTCAGTCCGCCGTTGCGATAAGCATCTAAGTCCTTAAACAGCGCTGTGCTGTTGAATGTTCCGAACGTCTTTGGTTTCGATGAATTACTTGAATCATAGTACTGGATACACCGGGGCACTCACAAGTCTATGTCTCAGTCCGAATACCTTTGAGCCTCCCCATATTCGCGCGGTTTCACCTCCGCAAACTCCACCTTGACAGGGGCGTATTCTGACGATCTCCCGCTTCTTCCATTGCTCTTGATATAGAGTCCAACGCAGACGATCAGGAGAAGCAACACCACGAGCAAATTCCCGCTCAGCAGTCCGATGATAATCAGGCTGTACTTCTTTACGCTCCCATCTTCAGTAACCGTGTCAGAAGATGCCGCAGCGTCGGCGATTGCGCCACTTGTGCGCACCGCGCCGGATTCAGGCGCGACAGTGTCTTTTGTAGGGCGCGTGGAGCCGGGAGGAGCAGGTATGAACCCGTCCGGGATACCCTGGAACTCGGGCGCCATATTTGCGAGCTGCGCCATCCGCACATTCTGCACGTCCGCAACCGCCGCGCGCGCGTCGAGCACGGAGAAGAACTGGATCGATGCAGCGCCTGCGGGGGACTTTGCGATGCTGTCGCCAAAGTTGAACCTACGAAAAGTAGGAGATGGGAACAATTAGAGGAGGAAGAGAGGGAGAGGTAACTTTAGGAGAGCCGTACACAGAGTAGAAGTTGCGCATGAACGTGTCCCCGAAGAGGGAATCAAAGTCGGCCTGGCTCGCTACCGCCGAACTGGCTATGGTCGACACACACGCAGTAACGTTGTTGCCGTTGTCGTCCGTCTGCGATGTGATGTCCGACAGGTCCAGCGGGTGGATCACGTAGCCCAGCCCTCTAAATACATGGCTGAGTATAGTGGATAGTTGAACCAAATACACTAACCCAATGACGACCGTGACGATCGCAGAGGTGTTGCACGGTATGAGGAACACCATGTCTGATCCGTTCACCCCGACCAAGGCGCCGGGAATCTGCGAGTAGATTCCGTAGAGGATGTCCGGTGGAAGCGTGGCGGTGGGGGTCCCGGTGTCCATCACCGCGACGATGCTCCCATTTGGCGCGTTGGGTACGGCGGATGTGAGGGGGACGTCCATGCCATTAACGTTGATGCGGTCCACGAGCACGCTCCACCTTCCGTTATCCCCCGGGAAGAGCGGGACCTCAGGCAGGCCCTGTACGTGTGCCGCATAGGTCTCATCCAGCTCATTGATCGTAAAGGAGGCGTCGGCGGAACCCTCGAGGTCGTCCGTCCGAGAGAGGGAAATACCGATAAAGTTGTCTTGGGCGGGCGTCAGGTCGAAGATGTTGAACAAGAAGGGCTGGCCGACGGTAGGGCCGAGTGGAGTGAGGACGCGTGTTATGTCGGAGGCGCTGGTTCCGTCGAAGGCGAGGCCTATGAGCCCGTCGAGACCGATGTCAACGATTGCACCCAACCCGACCTGTTACGATGAACATCGTGAATCGGAATGGGGCAAGAATTTACATACCGACGTGGCGTTCATGAACGCTAAGTAGAATCAGTTCAGCTCGCGTGCGCAAAGTGAGAGTCTCACAAACCTTGTGGGTAGAACGAATATCCACCAAGGCTCATGGTTGCAAATCCAGTTGTTCCAGCCGTGGTGCCGCCCGCGTAACGGATAGAGACAGGTGTCGAGTCCCTTGTGTCGTACTCAAAATCAGGCGTCGAAACAACCCTTCAAACAGTATAAATCTTTGGCACGAAATAAGAGAGCGCAACTTACCATAGATCAGAGCTTCCTGTGTCAATTGCAACGCGGAAATCTGGGAAAGAGATTAGAAATGGGTAAGGTACGCGCAATACAACACACCTCGGTCGTTCAAAGTCACAGTAGCAACGTACTGAAAATCGAAGGCCGATTAATGGACATGTATCATGGAGTATGATCCAAATGCTCACACGGAAGGGCACATTCTCTAGGGTCCCATTGGTGCTGCTTCCTGGCGAGACGTAGGACGCCTTCATGGCGTGGCCCTGACTTGTGGGCCGACGGGGGCGGTAGGCGGGATTATGTGTGGCGCGGATGACGACCGCCAAAGATGGGCTTCCAGAAAAGAGAAGCCACGGAAGCAATGAGAACCACATGCGCTGTAAAAGGGGATTGAAGGCGAAGTTGAAGAAAGAATGGACGTTGGAGAAAATGGGTGTCGTTCTTATAATGGTGGATGAAAACAGCCTTGCGGGCTCCCGAGATCAGCCCGCGAAGAAAACGCCGCCCGGGGTTATGTCATCTAATATACAGATCTCCCCAAACCCCGAGCTGCGCTCCTCAAGTCAAGGGGCGATGCATCTCCAATCAGTACACACTCTACATCCCCAGATGCAGAACATATGCGAAACAAGCCAGCGATATCCCTGCGACCAGAACACCACTTCAGACGTCAAGAGAACTGAGCGCCGCTTGTGTTCTACAGCGCAAAGGCAGCCCAGCAGGAAGGAATGATTGGATAGACTTGGAACAGGTGGCAGCAGAGTTCTCGGTGAACGGCGGGGGGTCCGTGGCAGTGAAGATTATTGCACAGCCATTGATTTACGCGAGGGGTATAAGGGTACGGGTTAGACAGGTATGGGTACGGCGTCGGATTTTTCGAACCCGCGAATACCCTGGACCCGTCGCGAGGGTGCAAGGGTGGAAAACGGGTCCGGGAGAAACGAGACCAAGCCAGAGATTCAAGGACCAAGAATGATCAGTGACCATCTCCGCGCAACGACTTTGTGTAGGATAACCCAGGTAGAACACCCGCCACCAGGTCTGCCGGTTTTTCGGCATCAGCGTCCCGACCATGGGGCTCGATACAAGCTGGATCTGGCGACCGATGTGATGAAGAGAGAAGAAGCGCAAAGGTGGCGATGAGGGAGCTATCAGTCTACCTGAATCATGCGAACGACAGTCGTAGCGGTCCAAAAAACAACTGCTGTCAGATTCGGTTTTATTAATTCGGGCGCGGGGAATCGAACCCCGTACTGCCGGTGGAAACGACCTAGCAAGTCCACGAAATCCGGCCGTGTGCCGTACACCACGCCCGATTTCTTGGTGTATTTGCTGTATCGCGTCCGGAGAGGGTGGGCAGAGTCAGGGTTGAAATGCGAGATTTAACTGATGCTGAGCTGAGGATATCGCGGGCAGCAAACAAAGAACAGCAAGGTACCCACAGTACCGAATCATCTGACAGAGGAAAAAGAAGTCGTCCAGGTTGATACATTCGGACGCGGGGAATCGAACCCTGTAGGCCCGGTAGGCGCAAGTCAATGACACTCAATTAGTCCGACCGTATGCGTACGCCATGCCCGATTTTCAGGTGTATTTCGTCCCCGATGGTGTCGTAGAGCTAAAGTCGAATCAGGGAATTGGTGCCAGTCGCGGATATCGAGTGCAGTGTGCATGGGTCGAATGAAGGGAAGGAATAGGGAGTACTTGAGGGATATGGTTTAGATCGATGGAAATAGGACCTGGAAGCAATTCCGATTAGCATTCCTTGCCGAAAACTTTGAAACAAAACTCGTGAATACGCGTGTATGCTCTCCCACTCTTCTTCCCTTCCACCTCCTCCTCCCCTCCTCTCCCCCTCATCCCACCTCTGCCTACCCTCTCTTGCTCCTCGTCCGCTCGCCGCCTAACCGCACCTGGGATTTGGTATTTGACTATGAACGCGGTGAGTATTAGAGAGTACACGCGGGCGAGAGAGAATGAGAGAACGAGAGGATCAAGGGATGACGGAGGGGGTTGAGAAGGAGAGGAGGGAAAGGGATGAAGGGAGGTGGGGACGGGGAGGGTAGGAGGTCAGGGGATGGGGTAAGGAGGGGGAGAGAAGGGAGGTAGGGTGAGGGTGGGTGCGAGAGGGCGGCAGGGCGGGGGTAGACGAGAAGGGGATAGGAGGCAGAAGGGACAAGGGGAAGGGGCCGGCGAGAAGGGATGGGAGAAAGGGTGGGTGATAAGAAAGGGTGGGAAGGGATGAGTGAGGGGAAGGGCGGGAATAGTACATGCCATTCGGGACCGGGATAGGAGCGCAAGTTAGGCGTGGAGGAAGGGAATGGGGATGTGTGATGAAAGGCGGGAGGTGGCAACGGGAAAGGAAAGAGAGACGCACGCTTGGGCACCTTCTTCGGGAGCTCGACGGTACGCGCCCGGCTCGATGGGGCACGAGATGGTGGCGTTGGCGTTGCGGCCGCGTGCGTTCCAAATCCATATAAGTCAACGAGGGAAAGGGTACGCACGTCTCGTCGCAGATATCAAACGTCTTCTGCAAGAGCATTATGCGGCCGACCATGACGAGGACGTCGGCGGTCGTGCCTCCTCGATGACCTCGACGACGTCGAGATCGACGGTAACAATGAGGTCCGCACCGATCTTGAGCGGGTCGGGAGAGACGGAGACTGACTTTATCTGGATGGTCGGAGGGCTCGCCTGCACACGCACACGTCAGCCGTCACTCCGTCGTACTCCTCAAAGAAGAAGACGAAGGAGGAGACTCACCACAACTGGCCCACTCCCAGCTACCCACCACGGCTCCCTTCTCCGACCCAAGGGTCATCTGTCCGAGGCCGAGCGCATCGCTAGAGAAGCGAAGAGGAAGTGCGCGCCGGGTCGGACGTGGTGACAAGAAAAGATAGTCGAAGCAATTGACCCAGCAGGTTTTTGCGCAACACGTGATCTTAGCACCGGGCCACACTCAATGCACTCCCATCCACCGTTAGTATTGGTTGGTTGGCTTAGTGGTTAACGATGTATTCGCGTTATATTTTGTCTTTCGGAGATCGTCTGTTCGATTCCGGCGGTGTTCATCCTTTTTTATTATTTCTCTTTGACCAGTTGCTTCTCTGCCTACGCGCAACGGGCTCTTGCGGTGAGCAGACACCCCAGGCAGTGGGCCCAGCGGCGAGCGCGAAGTGGGGTGCGTAGGGGTCCCCCAGTTTCCCCCGCGCCACATGAAATTTCCTTGCTTGGATTTGACAGGAGACCCGATACATTACCCAGGTATCCTGTCAGGCAAAAATACGGGGGCCTGTAGGGAACACTGTTCCCCCTTCCATTTTCTATATGGCAAAAAACGCGCCTTCTTGCGCGATTTTGCGACGCACTTACTCAAAAAGGAAATAAATCACGTGTGCGCAAAATGTGCTGGGTCGATAGCGGTTTGTAGAAAAGATGCTGTGTCGATGCATTCGCCCATCATCCATCACGCATCATCCGGCCCGGTGCGCTGTCTCGCGCATGGACCAAGCACGGGCCGCTCGAATTCATATTCAGTCTACCAGATATATTCCTTGGTCCCAGAAATCACAATTGCGATATGGTAAACTGAATAAGACCACATCAGACCGGAATCTGCAGCACTGCAAGCTCAACTTCTGCTAACTACTGCAATAACTACGTTCGTTTCGGAACGGGAACAGTGGCCAAAGGAAGCTCCTTGCCCAAGCGAGAAAAATTCAAGACCACCAAGAGGTGGTCCAATGAGTCGCGATGGATTCCGCGGACATCACCAGGAAATGGAAATGTTGGACCGCTGAGAACGATTTGCCCGGAGTACCAGAGACTATAGAGTCGTATCCCTTTTTCGGCTCCTTTCTGCGCTCCTTTCTTGCTCTTTTTTCGATTTCCCAAAAAAAAGGAACTCAAGTATATACAAATTAAGTTTGATTCACTGTTGGCTTGCCCGAAAGCGAAGCCCATACGTTGATTTTTCGTGAAGCCGTAATTTAAACCAATAATGCTTAGTTTGGTTTGAATCTCGGTTAGACTGAATTTTAAACTAACATTTCAGCCATTGGTTTAAGAGCGGAAGACAAGCGAGAGCAAGGTCACGGGAAGGAAAAAGCACATGTTTATTCGTGACTAGGGAGTATACACCGATGTTCGATGTTTAAGCCGGGGCGTTGAAAGTCGAACCGATCGGTCCAAACTTGATGTTCGAGTAGACCACTTGGGCGTTCGGGCTCTGGGACTCAACGGTTGTAGGAGCCCCAGAGTTGGCCGCACAAGTTCCACGCCTGAACAGACTTGAGATGAGCATGTACAATCTGTGGAATGGTAAAGACTGACGTGACACCAGCAGCGCTGGGTGATTTGTTTGGTGGGTAAGGGGCATCGAGCCAGAGCATGTTCGCGGCGTGGTCATCCTTGAACGTGGGTCAGAGTATTGTTTCATCGAGGAGCAAAAAATGAAATACCCAAATAGACATGACAAGGACCATTCCGGCGGAGGCGGCTCTCGACATGGTGGCCATTCCACCCTTGGAAGCAAAGGTGTTTGTGTCACCAAACGCGGACTTTTCTGCGAGAGTGATATTCGGGTGAGCAGGCAGCGAAAGGCACGTGAAATGGTCTTACGGGCGGCGCAGAAAGAGTCCGAGATGGCATTTCCAGTAACACCTAAAGCGTAAGGGTTACTGGCGGTTTATGTCAATGGGATGACGAGGGGACGTACCAGGAATCGTGCTGTTAGAGTTGGGGATAACTCGGCCGTTCTGGACGTAGAACCGTCTAATTGAGGTGATCGGAGAACCAACAAACTGAGTGACGACGGTGATCTTTTGGTTGGTGTCGACAGTCAGACCAGGGCCAAAGAAAGACGTGTCTCCCATGCGATAGGAGTTGAAGTCGCATCCAGCCTGATCACAGGTTCCTTGAGTCCTGTTAAATTATCATCAGTTTGTGAATGTTCATGCCAGGTGGAATTCGCACGAGTTTGGCGCAGAACAAGTGGTCCCTGTGCAGGTGCTTTGTCCAAGAATGGCTAGGATAGGGTTAGTTCAGATGAGCGAACAAACATGACCAGACGTACTGCAAGTGTGCGGGGTGTACGCTGCGGAGATCTGTTTGGAGTTAAGACAGTGCCGGCAAGAACCGAGATTTAGCTCCAGCAAACCTTGTTCGCTTCCTAGAGAGAATTATTATGAGTTCAGTAATGCATAGCTTAGCTTTCAACGCACCCAGACATCCATTTCAGGGCAGCACGTTCCTGAAAGAAAAGGGAAAATTTCCGGTTAGCACTAAATGTAGCACTAATCCATCTTCACACACCCATGAGGCCCTAGAAGATGCGGGTCAGCCTCAGCGATTCAGATAACCACCCGCAAATAGACTCACAGTGCCAGCATTTGCTGCGGGAGATAAATTAGTTCCACCATCACAAAAGACAACAAGGATGGTGGCGTACTATCATTCGGACTGGGGACCCAGCCTTGCGAGTTGGCGACTCCGTTGATGAACTTGATGTCTCTGGGGCACTGCGCGTCGCAATAGCCCGTTCCGTACTTGGCCCCGGCCTTGTTTGCTCCGTTGGACTTGGCAACACCACCGTCCGCATCCATTTGGGCGAAGTAGAGAGCACCGTTGAGACCGCAAGGGAGCTATAGGGGAGGGTAGGCGGAAGAAATCGGAAGAAAGGCGATAAACGGACCTGGGATACATCGACATCGAATCTGTGGCCTTTGAGGATCAAATGCTTCTCCGTTCTTCGAAAGAACACTCACGTCTAGAGATGAGTAGATCAGCAATAAAACAGTGGGACTTGCGCCGAAAGACTCACGAATTCCTGGTTGTTGAAGTTGAAAGTCTGGTACGTCGAGGTGCTCCCTGGTGCCATCAAATAGACACGGCTACCAATGTTGGGCTGTTGGCTGACTACGAGATATTTTAGCAGTGCGCCATACTTAGCTAGTCAACTACTAACCGGTGACAAATTTCATCGTGAGTGCATTGCCACTTGTGGTGATCCCGTAAGTTCCTGAAGCGGCATTGGATTGGGAGAGAACGAAGACCAAGAGAAATCCCACCAGCATAGTCGGCGCCTAGGGAAAGATATAAGTCTTGGACGATGTATTTCGTAGGTATTATTTACCATCGACAGCGCAGTTTGCCGCACAGGTCTTGCCGTCGGGGCAGAGACTGTTATCCGGGTACGTCAGCGGGAAGTAGCGAGACAAGGGACCAGAAAACAGACGTGTTGTCCCAGGTGTTCCTAAATCGATGTTCAGCCAAAAGACATTACTACAAAAGCACCGCGGACACCAACCCGGTGTAG